GGAATAAAACCAGGAAAATTAGAAAATATGTTGGAAATTAAATGTATGTCATGGCAAGAATTCGTGTAATTATTGCAGTAATTCAAAATAACAAGGCTAGGGTAATAAAAATGATCATATTATGCATCAAGAAAGATCGTTCAGGGGTCAAGGAGCTTGTCATGTGTGTGGCAGACCAAAGACTAATTCTCAGCACCATATGGTTCCCTAAGGATCACTGGGTGCGATCCCCAAGAACAGGCCTGGGAAGAGACCCTGAGTACTGCCTGGTACGGCCCAAAGAAAAATAAAATAAATGACAAAATCACCCATTGTTCTCTGGGTTCTTACTTGAGTGGAAAAAAAAATGACTTTTTCTTTTTTTTTTTTCACCATAACTGATTCATTTACTTATGTCACATAATCCATTCTGAAAGGAACCACTCATGTCATGGTAGATTTCTGCATATGGGAGAAATTCATAATGCATTTACTGAGAAAACATTTATGAGAGAACATTTATGAAAGAAGTTTTGTGAGTTCTTCTAAATCATTAAGTGTACATGATAGGCTTCAGTCAAAAAAATCACTGAGACAATTCAATTAGCAATCATTTCATATTTATTTTAAATTAGCATCTTCATGCTTCATCTGCCTTAACAGTAATATATAAATAATAATACTTTGCACCTAGCAAGATCAAATTATATTTTTATTTGCACACATAACAAGTATTTGAGTACCTGCTGTTTGCTGGCTTTAACTACAGTTAGTTTGCATCTATTATTAAAATATAACTCTCGAGTTAGAATCTCTCTTCAGTTCTAAATGTTGATGTTATATTATTGCCACACTCTCTTCCTGACAGGTACTCCACAAATATTTGTTGCATGAAATCAGAAATGAGGAAAATTTGTATCATGAGTTTTATAGTACAAAACACTTCAGACTACTGATACATAGAAACAATGATACTTGTGGAATTTTTCCAAGGAGGCAAATAAAATTTCATCCATTAAATTTTATTGTTTACACAGACCTACAGAGACACCAGAAAAAAGGGAAAGTGTCAATCAATTTCTTAGCAAGAAATGTTATTTCCTACTGCAGTGAAGCTCGCAGACGTGTGGAATAGTCAGAATCAGTATCGCCAACCACTGCTGTAATTTCTACACTAGAAACAGATGGGAGAATCACTGTCTGGGAGACGGAAGGAAGATGTTACAGAATGACTGAAGGCTGACATATGAGTGGGATGCAGGAAAGGGGCAAAAAAGTGATGGCTAAAGCTGTGCATGTCTGAAGCAGAAGATGAAGTTAGGACAGTGGTGAGTAAGGAGAGAACACAGGAACAGATGCTTAAACACCATCTCAGAACATGCACATGTGCCCATCTCAATAAGAGTGAATCAAAACAGTTTTGGAGTTGGGGTTCACAACTTTTATCCATCCACACGTGGATGCTTCCAACCTGTTTCCTTCCTGTGCCCCACTCTGTCCTAGTAAGTGGGACCACTAGTCTCAGATCTTGGCACCCCTCCCCCCACCATTGATGTGGCCCCTCAGTGGCAATATGGCCCCCAGATGAAAAATGTTGTTTCAGAGGATGGAGGCCTTTTATTATTTAAAAGATTATGTGGAGAGTCTAGTGCGCCCCTATAGTTGAGTACCACTTGGCCACCGGAGTCTGTACCACTTTTAAGTGAGGAATTAGGAAGGCAACTTGGGGCAGTTCTAAGAGAACAAATCTAAATACAGATTCTGAAAAACTGAATGGCAGTCAATGGCATGTTAAACTTACATGTTCACAGGAAAAGACATGCAGATGATGTACAAATGAGATTGCTAAAGTGATTTGGAACACAGGTCAAACTTACTGTTAAGAACTTTAAATTATCTATTATTTTGAAATATAGATCTATTGAACTCAAGACTAGAATCTTGTTTGGAGCTATTTTATATGTCTGATGAGAATTCATTGTTTTTTGGATATTCCATGAAGAAGTTATTAGTAAGCAACAGCTATGTGATATTATCATCTCAATTTTTAATCGGATGAAAACACTTCATCTTGTTTGGGTGGTTATGTCAATGTGTATTAAGATTGTTTTGTTATGGTCATTTGGAAAGTATTTCTCCATTGAAGGGATGAGGATCAAGGAGACGACTTAAACAGCTTCAACAACTGCAGCACATGCTTTTCGTGCATGAACCCTGCGTGGCAAGGATCCTGGAGCACTGAGAGACCAGCCTCCCAGGACTATGTTGAGAGTTGCTCCCGAGGACTCCAAAACAAAGAAATGAACAAAGAATAGCAGAAGTAAATGGGTAATTGAAAATGCACAGGATTTAATGGTAACTTTTCAGTACTTGTACTGCAATAATACCCAAAAATGTCCAAAAGGAAAGAGAGAGAGAGAACAAAAGAGAGAGAAAAATGAGAGAGAGCAAAAACAGAAAGAGATGAGAAAGAGGGAAAGAGAGAACAAAAGAGAGAGAGCAAAAGAGAGAGGAGAGAGAGGACAAAAGAGAGATGAGAAAGAGAGGGAGAGAGGAAGAGAGGGAGAGAGAGAGAGAGAGAGAGAGAGAGAGAGAGAGAGAGAGAGAGAGAGAGAGAGAAGAAAAGTGCTTGCCATAGAGGCTGACTGAGGATGGGGGGTGGAAGGAGGGAAACTGGGGGCATTGGTGGTGGGAAATGTACACTGGTAAAGGGACAGATGTTTGAACATTGTATGACCAAAACCCAATCATTAACAACTTTATAACAGTGTATCTCACAGTAATTAAATAAAAATAAAAATAAATAAATGGGAATAAAAGGAAAAAACTGAGAAATGATAGAATAAAACAGAATATCTTTAAAAACTCAGAATGCAGAGAAATCTTATGCAATAGAAATTTCACATCCTAAAGTTATACTACATTAGAATTCAATGCTGTTCACAAAGACATTAAAAATGGACAAACCAGAGTTAAAGATTTTTGGCACTCATATATTTAACAAAGGACTTATCTGTAGGATCAATAAGAAAAACAACCAATAGAAAAATGAGCAAGTCTCTGAATGGGCATTTCACAGCAAATGCTGTACAAATATCCTTAACACTTATGAAGCAATGCCTTTTCATCACTAAAGCCACAGTGAGAAATGATGAATCAATTTAAAAAACTAGAATGGTAATAAAATTATAAATTAAAGTTAAAAATTTTTAAATGGTCTCTAACAACACACTGCTGTGATGATTTACAGTGACTTGGAAAGTTTTTTATCCTAATAAAAAATTGATCTCATGTACATCCAGTGATCTGGCAATACTATTTCTGAATGCCCATGTCCCTATAAAATTCATATCAACACCTACTTCCTAATATAATGGTATTAGGAGGGGGTGCTTTGGAAAGGGGTTAGGAAGGAGGACATGACTAGAATTAATGTCTTTATAAAACAGTCCACGGGGAAGGTTTTCTCCACAGCAAAAAGACACAGCTAAATGTTAGCTCCTCATCAGACACAGAACTTTGATGCATGATCTTGGACTTTCCACCTCCAAGCCAAAAAGGGAAAAAGAAAATGCACAGGACTAGGAGAATTAGCTCAAAGGGCTAGTGTGCATTCTTTGCCTTCGGAAAACCTGAGTGAATGATCCCTCTCCCATCCCCTCCCCCAACTGCAAGGTCCCCCAAGCAAACCTGAGTGACAGATCCCTCTCCCTCACTTCGTGGTCCCCCAGCCCTGAGGCAGAGCATCCCTGAGCACCACTAGATGTGGCCCAAACACCAAAGCATGCATTAAGAAATCAAAGAATTTAGTAAATATTTTCAAAATCACTTCAATTTTCTTAATAACTAGTAACTTGCATAAAGTGGTATGAGATAAGATAATAAGGAGACTTGTAAGATAAGGTTCCATTTGAAAGAAGTTTCAAAAAATAATCTGATAGACTAGTTTCTCTAATCTTTAAAAAAAGATATATATCTACATATATATTTTCCATAGAGGCCTAAAATTATCATAAATTATTTTTTTCTAGGAAAGAGAACCTTTTTTCATTGGAGCATTTGCAACTGTATGAACTTGGTGCTTCCTGTTAAATGTGTATCTATTTTTAAAAATTGGATCTCCCATGATTCACCTCAGAAAAAAGTTCCTTTTCATCTCCTAATGGATCATTTCAGTTCATACAACGATATGAATCATGTGTTTCCTAGTTATTATAATTGGACGCATTTTTTCAAGCCAGTAGAGAGTACTTCCTGGCTATCTCCCTTAGAAATGGATAAAGGCACTCAAAAAGTTTCAACCTGTGATTCATCGACTAAGTCCCACTAAGTGAAGAAAGAGAATAATATTTGTGCCCTTTCCCCCCGTCCTTCTTCTCCCTTATTCTTTCTTCTTTCCTCCCTTCCTTGGCTTGGAAAAATGTTAATGAGAAGCTCTGGTCCAAGGAACACTTGGTAGGGATATAGAACGGCACAGTGTCCATGGTGAGGAAGCAGGATGTGGGAGTTCTGAGACCATATTTGGAGTTCATACAGTAGAAAGTGGATTTGGTCACAGTCTCAGACTCCTGGCCTTGATTCGCACATCACAGGAGAGGGCAGCTTGCAGAGGCAATGTGCAAGAACCCAGAAGACTCATCATCCTGCCATTCTCTTTCCAGACATCTAGTGGGACCCTGTCCAGTCTGAAAGACATCAGTCCATAGCAGAGATTTCCAACATTTTTCATCCTGACAGTTTTTTTATCCAAAACCCTAATGAAAATCTGATGGAGTTCACAAATTTTCACAACAAAGTACATACATTGATGTAGATAAATTATGCATATCACTTCTAAAGATTCATTTTGTTAGTATAATCAACAAGACAAAGGGATGTTCCTAGAATGAACATATACAATAGGTCTTTATTTTCACACATGATATTTTCCCATGAAGAGTTATGTTAGATGCAAAAGTTAAAAATATTTGCCTAAATGGTATGGAATGATATGGGCAATATTGTTTACTTTAGCGATCAAGTTTAGTACTTTTTTCAAACTTGTAAACACTTAAAGAAAAATATGGGTATACAAACACTACAAAAAATCTAATTTTACTTTATGAAGGGAAATAAAATCTCACAATTTTCTCTAAAATTTACACAGTATGATGTTCTAAATGTACTTGAAGACAAAAATGGCATTCACTTTTTATGAAAGAGAAGCGGTTTCACCATTCCTGCCAAAATCTTGGGTAACTGTGCAGCAATAACTTCTGACATCATTTCTGGAAATTCAACACTTAGTGACCGGGACTGGATAAATGTATTCAAGCAGTACAGATGAAGTTGTTTCACAAGCTGTTGATTTAGCAAATGGATAAAGAAAAACAATAGGAATACAATAAATTGAGATAAACAATAAATCATATACTATTCAAACACATTTTCTCCTTTGCATAATGAAAACAACATCTTCCACTTTCTAGGATAATATGTAAAAGTTATTTTTTATGATGAAACACTGCTGATTTAAAGCGGTGTTTCCTAAAGTAGGTGATACTGCCAGCCCATCCCCTACCCACACCCAGATCTGGAACTAGGTAGTGGTCTGGTAGTAATATTTGGAACAATTGGAGGGAGGCTACTATTTGTTCACTTAAGTTGGGGGAGGGGGGCTGGAGCGATAGCACAGCAGGAAGGACGTTTGCCTTCACGCAGCCGACCCGGTTCACCCAGGTTCGGTTCCTCCGCCCCTCTTGGAGAGCCCGGCAAGCTACCAAGAGTATCTCGCCCGTACGGCAAAGCTACCTGTGATGTATTCGATATGCCAAACACAGTAACAAGTCTCACAATGTTACTGGGCCCGCTCGAGCAAATCAATGAACAACGGGAAGACAGTGACAGTGACAGTGAAGTTGGGGGGCACTGTTTATTCACTTAAGAAAGATTTCTGGGGGGTGAAAACTAAGTGATTTTTTTTCTAAAAAGGGGACTGTAGGTCAAATAAGTTTGGAGACCTCTGACAAAGAAATGAAAGTAATGCATAGCACAACAGAATAACAAACGTGAACATATTGGCATAATTCTTTCAAGGTTGTTTTTCCTGTACAGAGACATACCTTGTACAGAGACATTCTTGCATAGAGACCAACCAGGTATAAGCACAATATAGACTCATATATTTTAAAAATACAATTGTTTTGTAAATCCTATATATTCTGGCTTTTCCATATGAAAATTAGTTCCTCCTTGTGCAACTGAGCATGATTCATTGTAATCTAACTTTAAAAAAACACATAATTTCATGTAGTGAACCGTGATTTATTTATTTGTTTGTTTGGGGGTCCACACTGTGTTCAGGAATTATTCTGGGCTGGGCTCTGGGACCACATGGGATGCCAGGGATTGAACCTGCTAGGTTTCGTGCAAGGTAAGTGACTTACATGATGTACTATTGCTCCAGCTTCTTAATTCAACATGTTTATGTAATTGATGCATATAATTATAAAAGTCAAATTATTTTGCAAACACAAAACAAAAATAAAAAACTTTAAAATGCAGAATCAACAATAAAACCCAGCTTCTTTCCACCTTTATTGCAGTCCTAGACAATACTTTCAAACTGCTCTAATTTTCTAATGAACTTTGTTTTTTTAATTTAAAACTTTAATTTTACATTACTAAGTTTTTATATCACAGCGGGTAGGGCGTTCGCCTTACACGCGGCCAACATGGCCGACCCGAGTTCGATTCCTCCGCCCCTCTCGGAGAGCCCGGCAAGCTACCGAGAGTATTCGATATGCCAGACACAGTAACAACAAAGTCTCCAATGGAGACGTTACTGGGCCCGCTCGAGCAAATCGACGATCAACGGGAGGGCCTTTACCTTTACCTTTTACCTTAAGTTTTTATATAGAAAAATAAGGATTCAACTCTCATACTATATACCACCTTCTTAACTATACACACATTTCCTCCTCATTCCCTAAACAGCATTATCTCTCTTTTTCTTTTTTTCTTTTGGCTCAATCGATGTCAATAATGTTATATGATAAATATTGCTTTCTGGTGGACTACTTTTTTTTCTTTAAGGACTTATTTTTATTTTTTATTTTTAGGTATTACACCTGACTATGCTCAGGGCTTACTCCTGGATCTTTGTGACCAGGGACCATTCCTGGCAGGCAGCCAGATGTAGCCCAAAAAACAAAATAAACCTAGGGCTAAAATTTAAAGACATTCTACTGAATGGAACAAATACTTATTCTTGAAAAGGGAAACTACTAAAAACTTAGTAACACTCCCAAAGCTCAACTACAACCAAACAAATAACCCTGGCAAAGAATGAGGATAGATGACAGATCAGAGGGATAGCTGATCAGCATATGAAAAAGCTTTCATATCAGTCATTATCAGGAAGATGAGGATCAAAACAACAATGAGATTATCTCCTACAGTACAGAGAACAGCTTATAAGAAAAAGACTAGAAACAGCCAGTGCTGGTGGAAATGAGGAGGGAAAGATACCCTTCTTCACTGTTGGTGGGGATGGAATATTGAGGCAGCTACCCCTTTATGGAAAATGGCACCGAGACTGCTCAAGAAATGAACACTAGAACTTCCATATGGCCTGGCTACTCAAATTCTTGGTATCTGCCTCCAGACAACAAAGCCATTACTTGAAAAAGTTATATGCACTCCTATGTTCAATGCAGCACTTTTTTTTTTTTTTAGCTATTTACAATAGCAAAAATCTGGTAACAACTCAAATGCATGACAGATGAACTGATGAAGAAGTTGTGGCATACATTCTGGTGGTAGGGGTGGTGTGCCATACTTTTGTTGAGCTATCAACTTAAGCACTTTTGTAACCACATTGTCTAAACTATAATAATTTTTTAAAAAAATTCAAGGGTTGGGGGATGGACTATATCTGTCTAAACTCAGGGCTCACTCCTGGCTCTATGTTCAGGATCATTTCTGACAGTGCTTGGGGAACCATACGTGGTGCTTAGGATCAATCCCCAGATCACAAGCTACTTTTCTTTTCTTTTTTTTTCTTTGTGAGTCACACCCAGGGATGCTCAGGGGTTACTCCTGGCTCTGCACTCAGGAATCACTTCTGGAGGTGCTCGGGAGACCATATAGGGTGCTGGGAATCGAACCCAGGTTGGCCACGTGCAAGGCAAATGCCCTATTCACTGTGTTATTGCTCCAACCCCCAGAAGCTACTTTTCCACAGTACTATGTCTCTGGCCCTTACAATATTTTTTAAAAGAAAAAGTAATCATGGTATATATAATTAATGAAATACTAATCAGCTACAGAAAAAGTGAAATCTTGACTTTTGCTTGGATGCAACTTGGGTGGGGTCAAGTACAGTGAAATCTGTTACCAGGAGAAGGACAAATAATAAAGGTCTCAGTCATAGATGGTTTTTAAAGAAACAAAGCAAATGATGGTCAAAATACTTACATCATGCAAGCTATCCAGGAGCTTTGTAAGTTGATAGAAACGCTGTGAGCTAGAGACGACTCCTTTTTGTCTCAGACCAATGGCCTTGATAAGCTCTCTGATGTAACTCGATCTCATCTCTTCAAACTGATTCTGACTTCGTAGACCTTCCAAAGGAACTAGAAGAACAGTCACATTTTTTTTAAATGACATAAAACTTACATAAATTTATATATAAACTTATATATATAAACTTATATATAAATTTGAGCTGTATAATGATTTTTTGATAAATAATTGAGATACAAATAAATAGGGAAAAGATACTGCTATTTTAGGTTATATAAACATCGAGTTTTGGGGAACAATATAACAGAAGCAATTAAGTAAATATAAGAACACTTTAGTTTATAAAACAACTTTATCAACAGTCTGATGATTTCATCTTGTTCAAATGTATACCCACTGGGCAAGGGCTGACTTCATGGAACTCTAGCACCACAAGAAAAAAAATAAAGTGCACCAATCATTCATCAATCTTATCTCAAATACTTGCTTTGGTTAAGTTTATAGATGCATGTATGCTGGGTCACTTTCCCCCTATCTTTTTAACAAATTGATTTCCCTTCAATTTTTTGTCTTCATGTAAGGCTCTAGTATTTCCGATTCCTGGACTTCTAAGAGTAATTTTAGAAATATGCAAATTTTGGAAATATGTTGCCTAATTGAAAACCTAACAGTTGTATTCACATCTGTCTATATATACTCTATATTTATCATCTATCTTTCTAGTAATTTCATATAACAGTTATCACAAACCTTTATAAGCTTCTAAGTCTCCACAGCTTCCTTACTCTTTTTTTTTCTTTTTGGGTCACACCTGGCGATGCACAGGGGTTACTCCTGGCTCTGCACTCAGGAATTACCCCTGGCGGTGCTCAGGGACCATATGGGATGCTGGGAATCGAACCTGGGTCGGCCACGTGCAAGGCAAATGCCCTACCCGCTGTGCTATTGCTCCAGCCCCAGCTTCCTTACTTTTAAACACAACTATAAAGTTGTTTTTTCCTTTTAATTATTGAAGTATTTTCCCACCGAGTTTTCAAGAGCTGAGACCTAGTGGCCCTAAACCTTTACGTGAGCCATCTGTCTTTCAGGATGAAAAACAAATCTAATATCCTAACTCTAAAAGCAAATCAAGTTTAATCCTAGTCTGCCTGTCATACTTTAATATCACTACCAACCACAGGTTCAAATATGTAATAATAAAAATCCAATAGGATCTTATCCCATGCTGCTGGGATATCTCTGAAACTGTTCTCCCATAAATTTCTCAGTTCTATAAATTTCAGATCTATGAACCAGCTCTCTAAATTCTTTCTGACTCTCTCCTTTGAGCTCCTACCTTGACCACTATACTATGATTGGAAAATTTTCTTCCATGTTCTTGTTCCACATGCTGTGTGTTTTATGATGTTTTGTAAAAATCTTAACAGCTTAGGAGAAGCTGAGTCAAAAGCAGTTAGATGCTATTTTAGATAGATAACTTCCCTCCCTTTTTTGTGGACTTCAGTAAAAACTTTACTTGAGAAAAGAAAGGGAAGGATAAGTAAACTGAAGATATTTTCACTGTTCTAAAATTGGGTATTCACTCCTGGGAATATATCCCAGAGAGGCAAAAAAAGTATTGTCTAAGTGACATCTGCACTTGTTTGTTCATTGCAGCACTCTTTACAATAGCCAGAATCCGGGAAAAAACCTGAGTGCCAGAGAACAGATGACTGGTTAAAGAAACTTTGGTACATTTACACAATGGAGTACTATGTAGCTGTTAGAAAAGATGAAGTCATGAAATTTACAGACAAGTGGTACTACAATGGAAAGTATCATGCTAAGCGATGAGTCAGAAAGAGTGATAGACATAGAAAGATTGCACTCATCTGGGGAACATAAAGTAACAAAATAGGAGACTAACACCCAAGAAGGGCCGAAATTAGTACCAGGAATTTTGCTTCATGGCTTGGAGGCCAGCTACACATGCTAGGGGGAAAGGGAGCTCAGATAGAGAAGGGAGCACCAAATAAAAGGTGTTGGGAGGATCCTCCCAGGATGGGAGAAGCATGCTGAAAGTAGACTATAGACCAAACATGACTGCCACTCAATGCCTCTTTTGCAAACCACAGCACCCAAAAGGAGAGAGAGAACAAAAGGGAATGCCCCACCCCGCCACAGAGGTGGGGTGGGATGGGGGGGTGGGGGGGGTGGGAGGGATACTGGGACCCGTGGTGGTGGAAAATGGGCACTGGTGGAGGGATGGGTACTTGATCATTGTATAACTGAAACCCAAGCACAAAAACTTGTAAGTCTACAATTGTACCTCATGGTGTTTCACTAAACAAAATTTAAAAAAATAAAATAAAATAGGGTATTATTTTATATTGCAGATATATTATTTTCAAATCTTTTCACCCATTCAATGGACTGTTCTTTTCACAGTTCTTTTCACAAAGGACTGTGTCCTTTGATGCACAGGTATGTTAAATTTTTATTAAATCATTTATCTATTTTTTCTTTATGGAACATGTTTTTGAAGTAAAATGATATAAATCATTGTCAAGCCCAATGTTAACAAGGATTTCTCTCTCTGTTGGCTAAGAATTTCATTTAGATAAAGTCTTTGGTCTATGTTAATATTTGTTTTTCCCTCTTCTTGAAGTTGCAAGTGACCAAGAGCATTGCTTTGCAAACTACATGAGAACACTTGGAGACCATATGCCTATCACTTCCTCCCTTACATTAGGGATGCGGGAGCACATGTCAATATAGCACCTTCAACATTACACACACCTGAGTGATTACAGTGGGTACCACCTCCCAGCAGATCTGCACTGAACGCAGAGTAGAGTGAATAGATACTTAGAAATAGCTTATTAAGCTACTGAGACTTTGGGGTAGTTTGGTTTGCCAGCATAATGGAGCTCATTAACCTGGAATTAGCCTCTCAATTTCAACTAATTTGGGAGATCTAGAACCATCACTGGCCTAACTGCTACAGGATCTAGTATCCAGAGAAGAGAGAGAGGTACTAACTGTAGAAATAACAAGTTTATTCTATTTGAGTATCTGGACAAGTCAACATCCTTTATGCTTTTCAACAAATTAAGTTTGGAGGTGGGCTGGAGCGATAGCACAGCAGTAGGGCGTTTGCCTGGCACGCAGCCAACATGGCCGACCCGAGTTCGATTCCTCCACCCCTCTCAGAGAGCCTGGCAAGCTACCGAGAGTATCTCGCCCGCACAGTAGAGCCTGGCAAACTACCCATGATGTATTTGATATGCCAAACACAGTAACAACAAAGTCTCCAATGGAAATGTTACTGGGCCCGCTCGAGCAAATAGATGAACAACGGGAGGACAACAGTGACAGTGACAGTGACAGTGAAGTTTGGAAGTTTCTGCTTCAAATAGGATTCCCAAGGGTGGAAGGATGGGGCAGGGATGGATTTGCAGAAACTGCATGGCTCCCTATCTTCACCCAGATTTCATGCAGGAAACTCTCTTTGTTAAGTGCTTCTTTCCCACTCCCTGCCATTCATTCCTTCTGGTGATTTTTCTGCCATTTTCTCTGCACTGTCTCTTAGCCACCTCCACTACTTGTGGTTGTGTTATGAAAAAGATGTTCCTGCACAGAAGCTGTTGAGAGAGACACTTGCCCCACCATCTTCTTAAGATCCTTGTGTTTCTCTCTAAATATCTATGGCTGAGCAAGGGAGCAACTCACTTATTCAAGCATCAAGCCTACACGTGCATGGGAAAGACACATAAATTAGACGAAGTACAACAATCAGTTTTACACACACCCCTCACACACAGACTCCACTGAGGCATGAAAATCTTTTGTCTATGAGAAAGCATGAGGAGGCTGGGTGCCAATCTTTCTAGTCAGTGAGAAATGCGGGTCTCTGGATCAGCACCTCCTTCCCTTCCAGGTGTGTGGCTGGGGGTCCCAGCCCCTCTAATGGTTAGAGGGGGTTCAGCAGTACATGATCCCTCCAGGTCTCACCTGTAGACCTTTTTTCTCTTACTCAGTTCTTTCCTTCTAGCAGATCTGAGAAGATTCTAAGCCGCGAGGAAAGGGAGGAATCCTGTGTTTTCTTGCTAACCCACTGTTCTGTGACTATGCTGATAAAAAAAAATGCAACTATATCAAGTTACTCATTTTTGTAAGTAGATTATCCGAACATGAAGAGAAGAGAGAAAAGCAAACTGGTGTATTTTAGGGAGTGAATTCTTCCTGGGATAGGGATGGAGGAAAACAGAGTTTGTGCATATACAGCATTGTTTTTTTTTTTTTTTTTTGCTGAGCACTTTTTATTTATTTTATTTTAATGTAGGAGTACTACTATTTATTCAGTCACTCATTAGCTGATTGAATCAGCATTGTTTATGATACCTATTTGGAGGAGTTATTCCACTGTGTTTAAAAAATCAGCATTTGCAGAATCGCTAAGCTAATGTAGTATCATAGAGTCAGCAGAATCCTCAGAAGTAGGATATAATTTCATCTATGTATTTGACAGTCTATCGGCTTTTCCTTTGCACTTTCTGTGATTAATACATGATAGGCAACCATATGAAGAGAGTTGTCCGAGGTTTCCTAGCAAATTAGGAGGATCTTATGCTATATTTCTTGTGATCACTCACTTGTATTAAGCAGCAGCAGGACTTTCATGCAGAGGAACTCTTCATGGCTGACCTGCAGCTTCACAAACTCCTGTGGGATCTGCCACATGGTGAGGCATAAGGAATAGAATGATGATTCCTTCATACGTTGTCTTGGACAGTACATGGTACATGTAAGAAAAGGCAACAGGGGAAAAACACATGGGGTCTTAACCAGTTAAATAATGTATCAGAACACGTGAGAGTTAGTAATTGCTTTACTCCCGTTGAAAAGAACTTTTTACAAATTCAATATCATATATTGATTTTTTTAGTGCAAGAAAACTTAAAGATAGAAAATCCATTAAAGACAGCCTATTAACATTTATTCTTCTCATCACATTTTTGAATGTAAACTGAGAAAGTAGAACAAAGTAGTAGGAGTTGAGAATATGGAGCTGATGAATGCTCTGGAAATATATTTACTGATCCCTTTTTAGATTTAAAAAAATGTTCAAAATATGTGCAATCCAAGGGAACAATAGACTCAGCACATTAAAACCGAGCAGTATAGAATAGTTCAGAGTTTTTAGTTCCTGTTGAATAGTCACAGTGTGAACTATTCTCGGGGAACGTACAGTGATATAAAAAAGAACATTAAGAAGAATTAAATAATTACAAGGTCAAACAAAGTCTAAAGGTTGAGAAAGTTTACTTTAAGGTACTTTTTCAATCATGTTCTGTGTTGTAGCATCTGTGATAGTCAGGTGAAGTTAGTAGGAAGAGTAAAGACAAAATGAGATTTTGACTCAGAAGAGCAAAAATTAATCCTGCCATGCAGGTTCTAATAAAATACAATAAAACGTATGAAAGTTATATGTAAACTATAAATATAAAATTATTATTATATAATCTGTCAGCATTCATTATTAGAGAATAATATAAATAATTCCATTGGGAGTATTTTTGTTTAAGATTCTACATAGAAAAATATTCACTCAAATTAAAATATTTATATTTTGTTTAAAAGATTACCAGTCTGATTTATCCTCTAGGTAAAGAGGGTAATTTTACTTTTTAAAAGTAAGTTAGGACTTTTCAAAATAACATTTGCACTTCATATTCATTGCTGCACTATTCACAATAGCCAAAATCTAGAAAATACCTGAGTGCCTGAGAACAGATGATGGGTTAAAGAAACTTTGGTACAAGAATGGCCGAGATTAGGATCAGGAATTTTACTCCATGACCTGGAGGCCAACCACACATACTAGGGGAAAAGGGAGCTCAGATAAAGAGGAGAACACCAAATAAAGGTGCTGGGAGGATCCTCCCAGGATGGGAGAAGCATGCTGAAAGTAGACTATAGACCAAACATGATTGCCACTCAGTGCCTCTTTTGCAAACCACAGCACCCCAAAGGAGAAAGGGAACAAAAGGGAATGCCCTGCCACAGAGGCAGGGTGGGATGGGGGGATGGAGGGTGGGAGGGATACTGGGATCCGTGGTGGTGGGAAATGCGCACTGGTGGAGAGATGGGTGTTTGATCATTGTGTAATTGAAACCCAAGTACAAAAATGTGTAAGTCTGCAACTGTACCTCATGATGTCTCACTATTAAAAAATTTAATAAAAAATATATATATATCAGTTCTAGGGGAAAAAAAAGAAACTTTGGTACATAGTACACAATGGAGTAATATGCAGATGTTAGAAAAGATGAAGTCATGAAATTTACATACAAGTGGTGCTACATGGAAAGTATAATGCTAAGTGAAATGAGTCAGAAAGAGAGGGACAGACATAGAAAGATTGCATTCATCTGGGGAATATAAAGTAACAAAATAGGAGACTAACACCCAAGAATAGCCGAGATAAGTACCAGGAGGTTCACTCTATGACTTGGAGGGCAGCAGCACATACTAGGGGAAAAGGGAGCTCAGATAGAGAAGGGAGCACCAAATTAAAGGTATTGGGAGGATCCTCCCAGCATGAGAGATGCATGCTGAAAGTAGACTATAGACCGAACATGAGTGCCACTCAATGCCTCTTTTGCAAACCACAGCACCCAAAAGGAGGGAGAAAACAAAAGGGAATGCCCTGCCACAGGAGTGGGGTGGGAAGGGGGGATGGGGAAGTGGGAGGGATACTGGGAGCACTGGAGGTGGAGAATGGCCTCTGGTGGAGGGATGGGTACTCAATCATTGTATAACTGAAACCCAAGCACAAAAAATTGTAAGTCTACAACTGTACCTCATGGTGTTTCACTAATAAAATTTTTTTAAAAAAGTAAGTTAGGACTTTCAAATATTTCTTTTTACTTTTTTTGGTAGTGGGGGGCATACCCGGCAGTGCTCAGGACTTTCTCCTGGCTCTGTGCTCAGGTATCATTCCTGGCAAGGCTCAAGGAACCACATGGGGTGCCAGGGATTGAACCTGCGTCTGCCATGTGCAAGGCAAGCACCCTCTCTGCTGCACATCATTACAGCTCTCTTTTCACTTTTTCATCTGTTTTGTGATCACACCCAATGGTGCTTGGGGCTTACTCCTAGCTCTGTGCTCAGGGCTTACTCTGGGGAACCATATATGATACTGCAGATTATACTGGATTTAGACACATGCAAGGTAAGTGTATAGTATCTTATATAACTCTGCTCTACTTTCTCAGTTTAAGTTCTAAACCTAAACCTCCTATCCTATCTCTCAAGAAAAATATTCCTAATTTACTTCATTTCATTCTTTAATAACAAGTTTTATGCAATTTTTATTTGAAAAATGAAATATTTCATTTCTTTTTAAGTATATTTATAAATATGCAGTTGAATTTTTCAAAAAAAATTTAATTTAACTCACTATATATTGAAACAAAGAGAAGTTCCAAACATCAAATACTAAATAACAATATAAATTTGTTAACATTGTCAAATCAAGCTATATACTAAGATTTTTTTTCTTTTCTCATTTTTAGGGGGCCACACCCAGCAATGCTCAGGGGTTTCTCCTAGCTCTGCACTCAGGAATCACTTATGGCAGGGCTCAGGTGACCATATGGGATGCTGGGGATTGAATCTGAGTCAGCTGAGTGAAAGGCCAATGCCCTACCTGCTGTACTATCCCCCCAGCCTCTACTGGGATCATTCTAAGACACCATTTGAAAAATCCTGTGATTTAGAATGCTAAATATATGATCATGCCAGGAAGTTACTACTTTCAAGATAATCCTACCTATACACTTTTAATGCCAATAAAAACAAAAATCAAGTCTCTACTCACTCATTTAGTATCAGATCTGGTGCAAAGTACAACATCTTCCCGCTCACATGTTTGTAGGATCTCCATCCAAGCCCAAACACCATTAAGCTCATCCATGAATACTGGATTAGTGTGATCTGGTCATCAATGTGTAAGTTTCGAAAACCTGTAAAATTTTTTAAAAAGTGATGCGAAAATCACTTGTATTAAAAAAACGCTGAAAATAAATAGAAACTTGAAAACGCATTGTAACTAGGTTAATAAAATGTTTTGGGTCTCAATATGTTTTTACACTAAAAATCATGAATAATAAATAATTGATAAATGCATAACTAATAGAGCCTGCAAAACTGAAAAAAAAGCAGCAGTAGCATTTGAAGCCATTAAAATTATCATTATGATTTAGCATCTATGGAATTCACCAATTGAATCAGTGCCCATCGTTCATTCATGCAATTCTCATCTATTTAGTACCATTTGCGTGCCAGGAGCTGTGTTTAAATGCTGGAGTTACAATAACTGCATCACAACTCTTGTTCATAAGAGAAGCTCCTAGATAGCTCAATGGGCTGAGCAAATGCTTTGGATGTGTCAGGCCCAGGTTCCATCCCCAGCACCACATGGTCCCCAAGCACAGCCCAAGTGACCCATAAGCACAAAACTGGCAGTAGCCTCTTAGCACCCCTGGGTGTGACCCCAAAATCACAAAATAATCTGTGGGGCCAGTGCAATAGTACAGTGGGTAGGGCACTTGCTTGCATACAGCTGATCCAGGCTCTATCCCCAGCACCCCATACGGTCCCCTGAGCAGTGCCAGGAGTGATCCTTGAGAGCAGAGCCAGGAAGAAGCCCTGAGACCTGTGGGGGTTGCCCCAAACCCGCCAAAAAGTTATCAAAAATAAAGATGCTAGTTTAGGGAAAAAATAGAAAAGGAAAGAAAAGAAACTCATAACACAACAGGTCACGGTCCTCCCGTTATTCATCGATTTGCTGAAGCAGGCCCAGTAACATCTCCATCATGAGACTTGTTGTTACTGTGTTTGGCATATCGAATATGTCATGGGTAGCTTGCCAGGCTTTGCCCTGCGGGCGAGGTACTCTCAGTAGCTTGCCGGGCTCTCCGAGAGGGGCAAAGGAATCAAACTTGGGTCGGCCATGTTGGCTGCGTGCAAGGCAAACACCCTACTGCTGTGCTATTGCTCCAGCCCCAATTTAATGACGGGAGAGGCCAATACTTTAGTTTGGAGGGAGGGGTAGGCTAAAGTTGCTATAGCACGTCCTGAGTGCATTCAGGGATGAAGATGGAGGAGAGCATCACGGGCTTGTTTGTGTTTAAGAATGGATGGAGTTTTGGTGGTTGTGTGGGAGATGGAATAAAGGAGTTTAATGTACAGTTAGATGTACGATGTACGATGGAAGTTATTACTAAAGTCCAGGTGAGAGATGATGAAAGTCAACAGGTAGAAATATAGAAGATGGAATATATCAGAGAAATATTTAAAGAGTAAAATTAAATCTGGTAAATGAATGTGTGTAGGTAGAGCAAGAGATCAAACAGGTCTCAAATATTTTAACTTGAATAAAGGATGATGATAACAATTTTACTTACATTAAGAAAATTTTAAAAATATAGACTAAAGAGAAATATGAAGTTCTAGACATTGTCTCTGGAATATCAAGACAGGAGTTAGATGTGTGAATTAGAAGTTACAGAGCTGGGAATATAAATTTGGAAATTTACTGTGATTGAATGTAGCTGAAATGAAAGAGAATGAAGTATTTTACTAAATATATATATTTAAAAAACCCAAATATTCCAATAGGAACAGTCACTTTCTATAAAGCTATTATAATCACATATAGTTCCTTTAAGAACCCATTCAATTAACTTACAAGTGATTTATCCCAAAAGCAAAAGCAAAACAAAAGTTAATTCTTTAGATCTCAGGGACAAAAGATACTCATTTCCTGGTTCTTTTAACCATCACAAGGTAGGCAGCAGAAAACCCAAACGTTTCTATCCACTGGAGATCTTCATGTGCATAGTAGGAAAAACCTATTCTCTAAGAAATTTCCTCCACCCCCATTTTTCTTTTCTTACTTTTCTTTTATCTTCCTTTTCTTTTCCGTTTTCTGTATTGCCAGGAATCAAACCCAGGATCTCACACATGCAAGGTAAATGATCTGCCAAGCTACATCCTTAGCCCCCATTTAAAAATGTTTATCTCCAAAGGCCAAAAAGTGCTTGTCTTGTATGCACGAGGCCACAGACAGTCCCCTGCTGTGCTGCTGGCCTGTCCCTGCAACTCTGCTGCCAGGAGCCCCAACCCCTAAGTTGGTCCCCATGAGCATCTCTGAGTGTGCACTCGTCAGAAGGCGCACAGCTGTGCATCGTGACACAGCAGCAACGGGAAGGGAAGGGAGAAAGTCTGACTGCCAGGCAGACATCTGTTTGGGAGTTGGAGTGGGGAGGTTGGCTCTTTGGTACCCACTTTGCCTCCTTCTGTCCTTCCTTCCTTCCTCCATGCATTTGGTTTCCCCTTGGTGTCCCCTGGTGTCCTGCTTCTCCAAGGAAATGCATACTTCTGCTTCTCTGGGCTTGTGATCTGGGTTGTGCTGGTGGGGCAATATACAACCTAGACTGTGAATTTTTAAAAAATTGCAAGCAAAGGTGGCTGGAGCAATAGCACAGTGGGTAGGGTGTTTGCCTTGCACACGGCAACCCGAGTTCGATTCCCAGCATCCCATATAGTCCCCAAGTACCGCCAGGAGTAATTCCTGAGTGCGTGAGCCAGGAGTAACCCCTGCGCACCACTGGGTGTGACCCAAAAAAACAAAAAAAATGCAAACAAAGACAAAGATATGGTTAGATTTTCTTCTTTGCCTTCCTCCTCTCTTCTCCTTCTCCTCCTCCTGCTTCTCTTCCTCCTCTTCTTTTTCTCCATGCGGGTCCCAGGGCTGAGATCTCCAAGCCTGCTCGGATTGGGGTTGAGCATCCTCCACCCAAATCCTCCATCTTCCAGTAGGCAGGGATCAGACTCACCAACTGACTCCCAGCGCCTTGCAATCCCAACAACAGCCAAGACCCAGAGACTACAAAATCCAGCTCCCGGAAGTGCGCGGCCGCATTTGCAGCCGCGTGACATCTTATTATCTCATTCTTACTTTGGACAACCTGACAGGCTACTGAATGTAACCTGCCCACATGGCAGAGTCTGAAAAACTACCCGTGGTGTACCCAATATGCCAAATACCAGTAACAATAATGACTCTTATTTTCCTAACCCTGAAAGAGCCTTGAATATGGCACATCTCAGGGCTAGGACGAAGGAGATGTTACTGGTGCCTGCTCGAGGCAATCGACGAACAACAGGATGATCATGATCATGATCCTTTTCCTTTAAAACTTGTTTATTCAGCTCTTATTAGAACCCAAGTTTTACTTGTTCTAAATATTATTGCATGTATATTTATTCTACATTTCTTTAAAACGTTTTATGGAGGACAGGGAGAAAACTCAAAAGGCTAGGGCACAAGCCTTGCATGCTTCAGGGTCTCCACAGCATTGCAAATTCCAACTGCTGGGAGCACCCTGAACATTTTATTGAGGGAACACTGACTGCATCAATGTGTATTTTTCAGGAGTGCTTTTCCATTCCCCCCCAAAAGTAAGTTGTTATGTCATGTGACTAGGCTTTATTCTTGATGGTGACAATGCCCAGTGAAGGGACAAAATTGGTCAGTTGTGGTGACTGTTAGTGATCCACCAGAAATGCGTGGCTTCTGCTTATTTTCCAAGCTTGTCCTCTAGTTTCTATTCAGTGACTCCTGGTGAGTTCCCAGGGAAATTTTTTGTTAGTTTCTAAGAGACTTTTTGTCTTCTAAATGAACAAAATTCATTTCTTTATTGCTTATATCCTTGTTTGCGCAGGTTCAGAAAGACTCCTTAAATAATTACCCTGAATCAGAACAATTCAGCTTTCAATTTTCATAATTCTGTTTCCATGTGATGTACATGGACCTTCAAGTTCATAGCTACATATTACCTCTCTTTCAAAGAAAATTATGTATCTATTGCAACATAATCAAAGCAGTACAGAAGTGCTGCTGGTAAATGGAATATTTAACAAGTTTCATGAACAATAGATAATTCTTTCCTAAGGACAGGATGATCTCCAAAAGAGAAAAAAGATTCCCCCTACTTTTCACAGAGAAGACTCCCAAATGGGGAACCAGAGACTGACAGCTGCTGCTCCCTCTTCTGATGGAAGATTCTGGAGAGAAGTTAGCTTCCAGTCCTGCTCACCACAAGCTCAGTTCCCCTCTGTGTAGTTCATTTACTCACTCTAGTGTAAGTTCCTTCGGAAGTCAAATCGCAGTGATGATGACAACCAGTACAGAGTGGCAATGACACACCAGGGAAATAACCACAACAGCACCCTGCAGATACTGATTATTATCCATTTATCAATGAATCCTTGACCAGAACTAATAATGGGAGCAATGACTGTACTGAAATCCCTCATCAGTGTGATGGAAAATCTCAAATACTAAGCTATGACGAGATTCCAGAGACATGTGATATTATAGTTTATGTAAATTTATACATTTTAGTAATATTTATGGAAAGTTACATGATACCCAGAAGTATAAATGTTACTATTAGCAATAAAATTTAAAGATGAAGTATTCTGTCTAAAATTTGTATAGAATTAAAATGGTATTAAATATATAGCGAATTATCACTTGATCACTTGACATCCCATTACTCATCGATTTGCTCAAGTGGGTGCCAGTAACGTCTCCATTTGTCCCTATCACATGCTAGTGAAGCCTAATGACAACTGCTCACTCCAGGAACACAAAGAGCCTCAAACCATTCATTCAGGGTCTTGGCGAAGAAGTCTGACCATCTTGTAGGTGGGTGGCCATATGATCTTTTGACGTCCCATGGAATCCAGTTTGTAATAGCTCTAGTTCAACAGTCGTCTCCAAATCGCATTACATGTCCAGCCCATCTGATTTTCAATGTCTTGGCAAAAGAGACAGCATCCCTGATTCTCAATCATCAACGGAGATTGGAACACCAGATTCCTTCTCTCACTTACGTGTGATACTCCAAGCACAGTTCTTTCAATTCCTCTTTGGGAGACCCAAATAGCATTC